TTTGTCTCGTCGCTACCAGCATCACAAGCATCACAGTATGGTAAGGGGCGTAACATTTCCGTCACATGCTTGAGGTATTTGGCCAAACTGGATAGCATAATGTGTTTTTTTAACCTTAAACCACATAAACACATTTAATTACACCAAATACACAAAATAATGTTCTTTTTAGCAACATCATATGACCCCTTTAAGTGCACTGATGTCAGACTCATTTTGGATAAAGTTTATTGTTAAATTGTTAAATGCCCTGCCTCAATTACATATCTTTGTCACGTCATTATAAGTGTTTGATCACCACATTTGAGTGATCATTGCAAAAAATGTGTTTATGTATATATATTAGGGCTGGACGGTATATCGAGTTTGTACTATATATCGATATTTTCTTTATAAGCGATTCAATATGAGGCAATACAGTTTATATCGATATACAGTATTTTGATACGAGCGCATCTGAAAATATAGCGGAGGACACAGACTGAGCTGCTGCAGAGAAAGTACATAATCCAATTTGTTCTAAACATGTGACAAGCTTTATATTAAGGCCTTTAAAAAATTGTAAGACATAGTTTATAGTTTTGTTTCGCATATAAAGCAACTCAGCCCGTCATATGCTCTGACAGAAAGGCTGCATGTGCCGCTGACAGAGACACTAGGCTACTCGCACTGTTTAATGTGTTTAAGATGTGCTGTCTTCTTGAATGCATAACTTACATTTCACAGTTATATTCTCCATCTGTAAATGTTAGAAAGCCATGGAAAATTTCCATTTTTCTGTCAGAAGTGCATGAGCCTTCTGCTTTGGGATTCTCCACTAAACTTCACAGACTTCAGTGAACGAGCGCCAAACAGACAGAGCTCAATTAAATAGGAGCGCAATAATTCTGACTAAAATATACACTTCGCTGAAATGTGTAGTTAGACAAATGTGACATGTAGAATTTTAAACCTACAAGTAAGTTTATTTTTTTGATAGCACTGACTGTAAAGTGACTGTAATGGGGTAATCAAAATAGACTAACACAACTCTGCTTTTGTTCTCAATTATTTTCATTTTTAGTTTAGTGAATTTAACTTCCACTTTAAGCCATATTTTTGTTTTTAGATTGCAATGTTACAATGTTAGAATGAAATGTGATTTTAAACCTTTTTTGTACATAATATAAAGGCTTACATGGTTACATTCACTTTATTTGTTTTCATAGCCTTTAATATGGATAGTTTTTTTGGACAACATTGGGCGGTAAGTGATATATACATATATATTAATTAAAATTTTTAATACAAATACAAAAACTAAAATACCGAGATGTATACCGTATATCGCAAACCGGCCCAAAAATACCGAGATATGAATTTTTGCCCATATCGCCCAGCCCTAATATATATTCTGTTTATGTATATACTGTATTCTATATATAGTACCACACGAATGAATGGGAAAGTGTCCAAACTTTTGACTGGTACTGTACTACAATATACACAAAGAATATTAGCCGATATATCGATATTTTTTACACCCTAATATCGGTATTGGCCCCCCAAAAACCCATATCCGTCGGGCTCTAGGTAAAACAGTCAATTAATCGCCATAATCTCAATTATTTCTTAGACAATTAATCGTCAGCCAAATTTTATAATAGTGACAGCCCTAGTTATGATGCTGTGACACTGTTGCACATGGGCATAAGCTTTTTTTACATAACCAGTAAGACTATAGGCAAGCACCTAGAACACCTTAGCAACCGCATAGCAACATGCTAAATCAGAAATGTTTTAGCAATTTAAAAATATTAAAAAATGATTTTTTACACGGCACCCCTGCTCTCGACAGACGGCACCCCGGTTGGGAAACACTGACCTAGCCAACTGCTACAGCAGCTACTCTGGACTGCCTGAACTCTTAAATTTTTTTAGAACATGTAAAAATCTAGCTCTGACCTATTTTATGAACAAACTACAACTATTCTATATAAACAATTGGTTAAAATTGTTTTACCCGTACTTTGAATTGACTAATACATACTTTTAATTAATAGTATTAAAAAACGCCCTGTGGCACTTATCTTTAATCTATCCCTTGTAAACATTGTAATATAATAACCAACTTATATTGCTTCATTACACAAAAGATAATCCAAACTATTGTCTTTAAGACTATGAGGAACTTCATACCGACTCTAAACGGTTTACCTTTATTGTGCCACATTGGTGCATTAAGGGAGACAGAGATATGCCAAATGAATCCTTTGTAAAGAATTAATGTACCATCACTCAGCATGAAATTGAACTCTATGCCTAAGTGAGCCACAACTGCAAATAAGATTTTTTTAACGATTTTTATTTTCATAAATCATGTCAGAGAGGTGTGATTTTACACTAAATACTTTCCACAAAATGCATCATTACTGCCAAATAAATGGGCAAAAATACCAAAGCGTCACAGGAACTTTTAAACAAAAAAGTGCACAGATTTGTCCTTTTAAGATCCCTAGCTCATCACTACCTAATCTAAAAGGACAACACATACATGCAGCCATTAACTTGCAATATGAAAAAAGAAAAAAGAAAATACTACCATTCTAGAGTAATGACTGCTGAAAATTCAGCTTTGCAATCACAAAAATAAATTACACTTTAGGATATATTATAATAGAAAAGGGAATTTATAATAGAAATTAAATTATAAGGGAATAGAATTTATTTTAAATTCTAAAAATGTGTCACAATATTTCTGTTTTTTATTATATTTTTTGATCAAATAAATGCAACTGAGCATGACAGACTTAAAAAATCTTATTAACCACAAACTTTTGAAAGGCAGTGCACTGAATCTGAAGAACACAATCACATGCACACATCATTTCAGATTAGCCCTCACCTTTAAAGACACGCCAGCTCTTAATTACATTTGAAAAACTTGGAATCACAAAGTCTAAAATCCCAATGTCAAATGGCAGAGCAGATACTGTATGGTTGAAAATCATTAAACCTCTGAAAGTTGGTTAGTACAATACAAACACATTGCCCATCAACAGTAATCTGACTGCCTTAGTTTCGTACATTTTTGGCTTCTTTTCAAACATACGAGACATCAGAAAAGTTTTATCGATTAAACTTGACTATTCTACATAACTATCACATGAAAAAAACAAAACTTTAAAAAAAACTGAATGATGCCTGCGGAACCAAGCCAAAACCAATTTTCTGTATTCAATTTACATTTTTGGTCACTTTGTGGAGTCCAACTTAGTTGGCTTTGTTTGAAAAAAATTCTACCTATGCCTGACCACTGACAACAGAAACAAAGGAGAAATACAAGTCACGAACAGTTCAGAGGATCATCCAAGTGCCAGACTGATAAATCCTCTCCAAAGTTTCACACCTTCCCTTTGGCAGTACGACCCATTCAAAGTCTCGAGTTGGCATATGCCGCCTTTAGGAACGCCAGCTTCAGCTCATTTCCATTTCTCACACTAATAGCTGCCACAAAGTGACCTTGCCCATCCCTCACTCAGCAGCTCCGCCTTTATCTCTCCCATCAGCCCCATGCAGGTGAAAACTAATCCATGACTGCCGCTATGTGCACAAGAGAGCATACACCTCGCCACACTGTGTTAACAGACACCATGTGCTGCGTTGACAGAGCCTGAAATCTAAAAAGCCTTTTCGGCGAGTGTTTAATGTAGGTGTGCACTGACCTGTCGGTGTCAAACAGAGGCAGAGTGACTGATAATTATGGGTAACTGATTGCTGCAGTCCAAAAAAGCCAAAAACCCAGGGGTCATGCAGAACTCACCATAGGGGTATTTGGTGTCCAGCTTGTTATCAGCACTGCGAGACCAGGGCAGCAGGTCATCGTCACAACCATTGGGCATGCCATTGTAGCCAATACCCACTATCTTGTTCTCTTGATTCACAATACAGGCACCAACCTGAAATGAAATTGAATAACAGCTTATTTTCCAAACATCTATCACCACGAAGACAGCCTTAAGGCACAAGCCTGATATTTATACTTGCAATGTGGAGGAAAAAAATAAAAATAATCAAAATGGTCTAGTGATTCAAATAATCAGTCATACGACACTTTTACTACAAGCTCGTGCGAATTTCACTGTGTTCCAAAGTTCAAGTTTGTTGAAAATATATGCAAATTTGTATCACCTGACCAATAAAAGATTGTTACATCATGTTGTGACCTCTTATTTGAATTAAAAGAATACAAACTTTAAGTCTTAAGTGAAGTGGAGCAGACTAAATATTTTTAAATTTTGGATGTACAGTATTATATGTTGAATTATGTTTTTTAAAAAGATGCTGCAGAGCATGACATCATATTACAACCGTTTCTGCATTTTAATTACATATAAAATTTCCATCCAACTGGAGTACACAGTTTTTAAACTAATAAACTTGCACGCATATTTGTCAGTCACAAACCAATGAAACAAGAATGTGATTTATCATGTAATATTACAAGTAAACCATGTGTTTTAAATATTGAAATACATAACTGGGTTTATATATGAATCATCATTAGTAGTATTATTATTATTATTATTTGTAAACCATATCTGAAACATTTTAACTAACTGAATCTTGCTTATTACATATTTGAACCATGCTCATAATTTTTAACTACTTTTTTTTCACAATTAAAAGATGTATGTTCATTTTAAGGTTTCTGAATAAATACCAAATGTGATTTAAATAAATAAAACTGATGCAAATACTTCAACTATGCCACAATACTTTTTTTTTTTTTGAGTGCTGGACTATTCCAATTGAAAAAAGTCTGAACTTTTATGAGTGTTTTGTAAAAGTTGGACTATTTTGTAACAAGATACACCATTTTAAAAACATACTAAAAGACTCAGTCTGGTCTGAAATTAAGTCAAGCTCCTGACATGATGGCTTACTGTATGTTCCAGCAAGACCCATCAAATTCATCTGATGCAACACAGGTCAGCAGAGGAGGAAATCAAAAGACTTTCCTGAGACGATGGATCGCGGTCAACAAAGTTCAGTCAGCATGAGTGAGTGAGGAGGGACCTGCATTCTCAGTTCACCAAAACTCTTTTGTGTCTTAGATATGCAATCCGGCTCTGCGCCTTTAGGAGCAATAACAGATGCATGCATGAACTGACCGAGGATCATGCTTGACTGAACTTCAATATTGCGCTTAAATATCGGGAGTGTTTATATTGGCCAGGAGGTCGCTGCACAGCAGGGGAGGTCTGAAACCAGAATACGTTCTCACAGTACATGGAGCGGATAAGAGGCATGTGTCCTTTGATCAAAAGAAGCTGCAGGGTGTTTGGAGATCTTTGAGGTATTGTAATACCAGGCTGTTTAGAACTTCTCCAAGTTAATATTAATGGGAACAAAATGGTTTTAACAGAAAGAAACTGAGATCAAGATATTGCAAAAATTACAAAAGAGGTCTAACTTCATATTGATTGTAATGTCATCAAATTTCAGATTGATGTATGCTGACCAAATCGACCCACATTTCAATCTAGCAGAACTGCAGGCAATCAATCTCTAGTTACCTGAGAACTGGGGTCCTTGCTCCTCTGTGCTGATAAGAAGGCAACAGCCATGAAATACTCAGGCCATTCCAAGTAGCCCTGCCTCTTCTTTGTCTCACCTTCACCGTGTGTTCTGATGGATTGAAAGAATGAATGCAATAAGCGAAAAAACTGTTGACATGACAGCACAAAAATACAGACAAATCATCACTAATATAACATCTATGGAAAGATAGTACATGATTATGTGTGAAGTCAAATTTTTTTTTTCAACAGCATTTTAAGAATATGATAAAAAATGAGGGCAGAATTAATGTATTACTCATTATAGCTTATATATTAAGCTTAATATACAATTTTGAAATCATCATGATGAACATTTAAGTGCCAAGCACAGTGACAGACTGATACTGACATGGGCCGATAAGTCCCACGTGGACGATCAGGATGCAAATAGATTGCAAATTATCTAAATATTTAAAAACATAAATTAAGATGTTAAAATGCTCAGCATGTGTCTCAATTACTACACATAATTGTATCTTATTTCTAACACTATAGTTCGAAAGTTTGGGGACTTTTTTAATGTTCAGAAAAACATCAAAAACAGTAATATTGTGCAATATTATTAGAATTCCAAATAACCGTTTTCTATTTTTAACACATTCAAATCTAATTTATTTAGAGATGCACCGATTGACCGGCCAGTGATAAAAATCGGCCGATTTTTCGCAGTCTCACGTCTTGCCGATTCGGAGCAGATTCATTTATTGCCAGCGGCGCCGGCAATGACGTCACTGCCACGCGCACTCACAGTCGTTTCGCAACATGTTTACAAGTCGTTAAACATGTTTCGGGTGAGAATGATTCTAATTTTAATTGAAATCAGTGTAAACGGCGACCGTTTATGTCGTGCCAGATAAACAAATAAATAATTTATGCATTTAGCAGACACTTTTATCCAAAGCGACTTACAGTGCATTCAGGCTATAAATTTTTTTTAACCAGTATGTGTGTTTGAGACAGCACACACAAAGTAACTCACAGAAATGTATAGATGCATACTGTGGGGAAAAAAAGATATTTACAAAATATGATTTAGGTAAGCAACATTATACGGCCATGATGTTTCCCCAAATATCAGTATCAACACGATTGCAATGTGACACTGATTTTATACAATAGTATTTCAATAAACAAGAAGTTAAAATTAAGTGACTTAAATTGTAGACAAAATATTGACCGTTTTTGCTCGATTTCGCTGACGAAAATACTTCCAAAAAATCGGAATCGGCCAAGAAAATTGCAATCGGTGCATCTCTTAATTTATTCCTGTGATAGCAAAACTGCATTTTCATTGGTCATTACTCCAGTCTTCAGTGTCACATTATCCTTCAGAAATTAATCTAATATGCTGATTTGCTGCTCAAGACACACCTCTTATTATAACCAATTTTAAAAATAATTGTACTGTTTAATATTTCTGTGGAAACCACGATAATTTTTGATGATTGTTGAATAGAAAGTTCAAAAGAACTAGGTTAGAGCCAACACTGGAGGCTCCTGTAGCCTACTGGAGTGGGCTGCGGAACTAGAGCGGAAAGAAATTTGCTTTTTGTTTGTCCTTACTCTCATTTTTGGTCAATTTATAGTTGCTAAATGCTTATTTTTTCTTAGGGATGTAACAATGCACCCCGAGCCGGTTGAAAATCGATAAAAATGTGTGACGATTCAAGTCGGTTGAGATGTTAAACGAACGAGCTTTCCATTAATATGAAAGTTTCCTTTTGTCTCAGTGGAGTACTACATCTTTACTTGTGCGGATCATAAAACTTGCATCCCTGACGCCCCACTGATAGCTGTCTACATGTGTGATTTGAGCACTGACAGACATTATCATCAGATGGTTCACCTCCAGGGCTTTCCATTTTAACTTAAAGTGATATTACACCTTTTGCGACACATCTCAATGACGGTCTTTGAAAGGCATGGGGATTTATGTGTGAACATTTAATGGACCCATCTGACTTGACTCACTCTTTTTGCTAATGTCTCTGGTGATTGAGCAGCTGTCAAGAGTAGGTGTAGGGGTGTGTGTGTGTGTCTGTGTGCGCGTGTGTGAGTTAGTCTGCAAGTGAAATAATGAGGATTGATGCTCTGAAGCTAATGGGCAGTGCAGTCACACAATGCTGAGGCAGTCATTAAACGTATCACAAACAGTATTTGAAAAAAAAAATTCACTCATTGTGTAGTGCGCCTACTGCCAGCTTACAGGGCTGAAGATGGCAAAAACGACCACAAGAGGGCAGTTAATCATTATATCCATGTTCATGTCAATCCAATCTATATTTTCAGTATGTATCAATTGTATACACGCTATAACACTGAATTAATAGATCAAGGCATTAACTGTTTGTGATAATGTGTCAGAAACATGCAGTTTCTGCAAATCTATGCCCTTGTTGCCTGCAAAAAGTGCACTCTTTTTGCGAAATCTAACTTATTAGCACATTTGTCATGAACACAAATCTAAAGTCATGACAGATTCCTACCCGACAAGTGGTGACAACAGTAAAACAATAGATCGACACAATTACCCGTTGAGCTGTGATGTGTCGTTCTTTGTCTTGTCGTCCATGGCTTAATCAGAGATTGCTAAATCTGTTCTTATCGATATTCCCTGATGTGACCAGCACTGAATTTCCAGCTGCACAGCAGAACAGAGGAACTTCCCGCCAAGTTCTTCTTCTTTCTCCGTTTGTTTAATGGCGGGCTGGTATCAAAAGAACATGCCGCCACCTACTGTTTGTTCCGAGTTTAGAGGACTCGTTACATTACAGACAATTATATATTTATATAATAAAATATGTCGTACTCTTGAAATTACCCAAGAAAATACAAAGCGTAGAACATAAAACTCTCTAGAAATACATTTCCTTTTTAGATTAAGGCACCGTTCATTTGCTGAAGGCATATCATATGGAATCAATACACGAAGAACACATAACGGAAAAAAATAGAAAACAGAGCGTAGATCATAAAGCGCTCTAGAAATAACTTTCCTTAAAATTGTGTCGTTTTAGATGTAAGGCACCGTTAAATTTAATATGTTACTCTTAAAAATGATTATTGTTGAACTTGAAGGTATATTACACGAAGTAAACATAACGGTGATTTAAACTCAAAAATTAACAAAACTGAAATCATGTTGCATAGTTGCGCACATAGTTGACAATGTTCACTGGAAATAAAATATAAACCCGATTAGCCTACCGCATGTTTCTTTCTTTTTTTATATTCTTACAACTCACTGAATCACGGTTTAATCGATCAACGAGGAAGTTCAGGTATGGCCTTATGTTGATGTAATGCATTCTAAATAAAAGCAGCATTTAAAATATCGTATAGGCCTATTGTATGTTGTTTAATGAAAATAAAAAATGTCCTATCTATTGCTTCCAAGTTTCAATAAATAGACTTGAAATGTAATGACCTAATGATAGCCTATACCGTTTTTTAATGAATAAAGGTTAAAAAATTAGCCTAAACATGTTTCGTAACTTGGCAATGTTTCTAAGATGGAAGAATGCTGTTTTTGTAACATGGGAAATATGATTTTCAAAAGACAAGTTGCTATCCAATATACCATCCAGATTTTTGGCTGTAGAGGAAGTAACAGTACATCCGTCTAGTTGCAAATTGTAATCCAAGAGATTCTGTGTACTGTCTTTTGGTCCAATAAGTAATATCTCTGTCTTATCCGAATTTAATGAGAATTGATCAAATAAAATTATTGGTCATCCAATCTTTTACATTTTTAACACACTCTGTTAGCTTAGACAATTTAGAAGTTTCATCTGGTCTTGAGATATATAGTTGAGTATCATCAGCATAACAATGGAAACTAATCCCGTATTTTCTAATAATATTACCAAGGGGCAACATGTATATCGAAAATAGCAGAGGACCTAAGACAGATCCTTGTGGCACTCCATACTTTACTGGTGATAATTGAGATGACTCCCCATTTAAATGAACAAAGTGGTAGCGATCGGACAGGTAGGATCTAAACCATCTTAAAGCCTGCCCTTGAATACCTGTATAGTTTTGTAATCGATCTATGAGTATGTCATGATCTATAGTGTCGAACGCAGCACTAAGATCAAGTAAAACTAGCAATGAGATACAGCCTTGGTCTGACGCAAGAAGCAAGTCATTTGTAATTTTAACAAGTGCAGTTTCTGTGCTATGGTGGGGCCTGAAACCTGACTGAAATTCTTCATAGAGATAATTTTTTTGCAGGAAGGAGCACAATTGAGCAGACACAACTTTTTCTAAAATTTTAGACATAAAAGGAAGATTTGAGATGGGTCTGTAATTTGCCAGTTCACTAGGATCTAGTTGTGGTTTCTTAATAAGAGGCTTAATAACCGCCAGCTTGAATGGTTTTGGGACGTGACCTAAAGACAACGACAAGTTAATAATATTGAGAAGCGGTTCTTCTGCTACAGGTAACAACTCTTTCAGTAATTTAGTGGGTACAGGATCTAACAGGCATGTTGTTGGTTTAGATGCAGTGATAAGTTTATTTAGCTCTTCCTGTCCTATAATTGTAAAGCACTGCAGTTTATCTTTTGGTGCGATGAATGAAGCTGAAGTATTATACGCTGTAGAATCTACATTTGTTATTGTATTTCTGATGTTATCTATTTTATCAGTGAAGAAATTCATAAAGTCATTACTATTAAACTGTGAGGGAATATGTAGGTCGGGTGGCGTCTGGTTATTTGTTAATCTAGCCACTGTGCTAAATAAAAACCTTGGATTGTTTTGGTTATTTTCTATGAGTTTGTGGATATGCTCGGCCCTGGCAGCTTTTAGAGCCTGTCTATAGCTGGACATACTGTTTTTCCACGCAATTCTAAAAACTTCCAAGTTAGTTTTTCTCCATTTGCGCTCAAGACTACGAGTTTTTTTCTTGAGAGAATGGGTATTACTGTTGTACCATGGCGCAGTACGTTTTTCTCTAACCTTTTTCAATTTGATGGGGGCAACAGCTTCTAATGTATTAGAGAAGATAGTGCCCATGTTGCTAGTCATTTCGTCTAGTTCATGTGTACTTATGGGTACACAGAGCAGTTGAGATAAATCAGGCAGGTTATTTGTGAATCTGTCTTTGGTGGCTGGAACAATAGTTCTGCCCAGACGATAACGCGGAGCGATATAGTTAATATCAGTAATACGCAGCATGCACGATACAAGGAAATGGTCAGTAACATCATCACTTTGAGGTACGATATCTATATCAGTAAGATCAATTCCATGCGATATAATTAAATCTAGCGTATGATTAAAACGATGAGTGGGCCCGGAGACGTTTTGCTTGACTCCAAAAGAGTTTATTAGGTCAGTAAACGCAAGTCCTAATGCATCATTTGTATTATCAACGTGAATGTTAAAATCTCCGACAATTAGCGCTTTATCAACAGTAACCAATAGGTCTGAGAGAAAATCTGCAAATTCTTTTAGGAAATCTGACCTAATGATCCTAATGATAGCCTATACCGTTTTTTAATGAATAAAGGTTAAAAAATTAGCCTAAACATGTTGGCAATGTTGGCAATGTTTCTAAGATGGAAGAATGCTGTTTTTGTAACATGGGAAATATGATTTTCAAAAGACAAGTTGCTATCTAATATAACACCCAGATTTTTGACTGTAGAGGAAGTAACCGTACATTCGTCTAGTTGCAAATTGTAATCCACGAGATTCTGTGTACTGTCTTTTGGTCCAATAAGTAATATCTCTGTCTTATCCGAATTTAATAGGAGAAAATTATTGGTCATCCAATCTTTTACATTTTTAACACATTCTGTTAGCTTAGATAATTTAGAAGTTTCATCTGGTTTTGTTGAGATATATAGTTGAGTATCATTGGCATAACAGTGGAGACTAATCCCGTATTTTCTAATAATACTACCAAGGGGCAACATGTATATTTAAAATAGCAGAGGACCTAGGTCAGATCCTTGTGGTACTCCATATTTTACTGTTGATAATTGAGATGACTCCCCATTTAAATGAACAAAGTGGTAGCGATCGGACAGGTAGGATCTAAACCATCTTAAAGCCTGCCCTTGAATACCTGTATAGTTTTGTAATCGATCTATGAGTATGTCATGATCTATAGTGTGGATAGAACAAGAGCTTGAACAAGGAGTTGTGTTGCATGTTCTGAAAGAAAGGGCCTGATCTTCCTAATGTTGTATAAAGCAAATCTGCAGGACCGGTCAGTTTTAGTAATGTGGTCTGAGAAATTCAGCTTATCATCAATCACAACTCCATGGTTTCGAGCTGTTTACGATACAAGGAAATGGTCAGTAACATCATCACTTTGAGGTACAATATCTATATCAGTAAGATCAATTCCATGCGATATAATTAAATCGAGCATATAATTAAAACGATGAGTGGGCCCGGTGACGTTTTACTTTACTCCAAAAGTGTTTATTAGGTCAGTAAACACAAGTCCTAATGCATCATCTGTATTATCAACATGAATGTTAATGTCACGTTAATGACATTAATTAACGTTAATGTCATGTTAAAATCAGCCTTAAGTCACCAGCAGTTCTCGCTCTTTTTTACTGTGCAACATAAACTGACTGTTGTAAAACTGTGAATGCAGGGCCACTGACTTCATGTGTCTTCTTTCTTTTGAGTAACACGGAAGAAAACCTTTTGAAGAATGTTTCAGTTTCAAAACAGTTTCAGTTCCCTTTGGCTTTCCTTATGGACAAACAATACAACGAAAGTCAATGGCAACCGAAACTGTGTGCTTATCAACATTCTTCTAAATATTTTCTTCTGTGTTGAGATTTGAGACATGAGGGTGATGATAACAGAATTATGAGTTGTCATTTTTGGGTGGACTGTCCCCTTTAAATATTTCTAAGGTTTTCCACAACACTAGGGCTGCGTTCAGCCCTGACAAAAACGGTGCAAAACATTTTTTAAACAGAAACGGTGATGCGTTGAAAACACCCTGTTCTGATGACGCAAGGGTTGCAACTATGGCAGCTGAGAAGGCCATTCTTTGTGTTCTTTTTGAAGAATTTTGGTGATTTCAAATATCAACATTGGCTACCAGAAATCACTTACTCTGCCTTTAAATCAGTAGCTGGGTCACCAATCGCACAGACAGCACTCCCACAAAGGGCTATAAATAATTGTGCCTTTCTGGGATTATGGGATCAGCACAAACACGAAAGAAAATAAGAATTAACTCAACAACTACAATTTGTTACTCCATCTGGTGTACCCTGTTAAAACTCTTTTTCTTAGATTTCGTACTGATGTAGATGTTATATGTGATTTCTGTGGGACTGAGAAAGAAAATGTTGTGCACTTATTTTGTAACTGCATTTATAGCTAAATGTTTTGGATAGATTTGGAATGTTTCCTTTGTAAATGCCTAGGCATGAAAGTTTACCTTTCTGAAAAAGATGTATTTTTTTTATTTTAATAGACAAAGATTACCACCAAATGTGGCCTTTATTGTTAATCTTTGTTTGATTATGGGGAAATACCATATACATAAACAGAAATGGTCTAAAGGAAAACCCAACTTTTTGTTATTTCAGATAGATATGAAAAATTATATTGAGTTACTACTTGGGTTGAAAAACAGTAAAGCAAAACGCACTAGGTCTCTTTGTGAAGCTTTTATGTTATTTATATGATTATCTCATACCTGTTTAGTTTTTTTAATTATTTTTTTAACCTGTATTATTATTTATATTATACTGTATATTTT